ATAAATTCGTGTTTATTTCTTTCATAGTTTACAACTTAAACTCCCTGTTAGCAAATAAGCTTTGTTATCCTAACGACATAGTGTTTAGGCTTAATAATGTTTTGATGGTCGTGCTAATCTTGAAACGTTTGTCAAGTCCTTCTTTTAAAAAATCTCTCAAACTTGTTTGCGATAATTTGACCGCAAAGTCTATGGTCTTCTTTGTACTCCTATTATTTATAAAAAAATTAATTAATAGTATATTAAAAAGTTCTAACGCAGATAGCTACATAAATGTTTACATACGAGATCCAACTTGGAATTTTATTTGTTCCAGATATCCACAGCTCAAGCTGATTTTTATAATCCTGCGTCCATACAAGAATTGGTAATTCAGTAATTCAGATGTACTCATCGTTAACTTGGTAGATCTTGCCATTAATCTTGTATCAGTAATTGCTTACGTGCTTACTTCACCCTATAAATATGTGAAAAATCATTTAATATTAGAAGACTTCAAATCTATTAAAGGATTCTGTTAAAGAATATGTTACCTTAAACCAAGATACCAGGGATGCATTAGAATTGGTTTTGCATTGTTAATTAAACGTTTTAAATTGTTAACGATATCGCGAGGATTGTATTTTGGAATAAATGAACTCAAACCTAATAATTATAAGATAAATCAAATGTATTATACTTTGTATGAAATACAAAATATGCATAATTCAATACCCTCGAATCCATTAACAAGGATCATTGGCAGAATTGGCAAATACTATTCTAGTTCTACAAATTGACCGTCATCATTACGATATGTTAGTAAAAAATCATCACGAGATTGAAATATTTTTCTAGTCAATTCAGGGATTGCAACGCTGATATAACGAGCACTAGCTGAATCATTTTCTCCTTGAGCTCTTGTACCAAATTGACCTTCATCATGAAGGATATTGATGTTATTTGAACTGACAAACTCATGAGCCATTCTGATAATTGCACCTTGAAGACTTGCATTATCATGATGATATATATGCAGCTAGTTTTAAAACAGCCCCGGCTAACGAAGAAACTTTTAATTTTGTTCTTAAACTTTTTCTTAATACAAGTGTACAAAACTTTTCTTTGGCCAGGTTTTAATCCATCCAGAACATTTGGAATCGAATGTTCATTGTCGACTTGATTAAAAAAGATAAACTCGTCATTTATAAAATCCATTATCGTGATTTCTTGCTCATCATGATTCATGTAGGTACTGGGCTATAAATATATAAATTTTTGGCATGTGAATTTTCTTTAAAGAAGATTACAATTTGGTTGGAACTAGGAAACTAAGGAAAATAATTTATACATACTTCATAATTTCTTAACCATTTATTGCGACCATGGTCTTTCTTTTCAATAAAGTTCATATCGATCAATTCTCGTTCTTCTTCTTGTATAGCTCCAAAAGGTTTTTTTATGTCGCTTTAAATTTTTGAAATAATCCTCAGCTTCTTTGACATTGGTTCAATAGTTACAATCTGAGTATTACCATTTTTAAAAAATATTAATTATTAAATAATTATATAAATAAATAATATATAAATAAAGTTTATTACAATTTAATTCTTTTAATGTAGGAGTATCTGAAACTGATTCTACAGAGGTGGACAAAAGTTTCCGGACACCTTTATAAATGCGATTTAACAAATTTACATCATATAATTGTAATACTATATATTGCGGTTATATGACCGTCTATTGTTTCTTTACATAATCAAAATAAAAAAATTTGTGTTGTT